GGATTTAAAAGTTTTTGTTGCTCCAAAGCGGAATAATCTGAAGACTCGGTAAGGGTGGGAAGATATCAGCACAAAGTAATATTTAAGAATATGCCAGAGTCACTCTCGAGTAGGAGATGAGTTCTAATCAAAATTTGACGCTTTGGAAGAGACAAGTTGTGTAATGTGGTAAGTTTTGCACTGTACGGCCTTCCCACATAGGCGCAGTAGTTTAGAAATTTCAAGCAAGTGATCCGAATATTTTTCATTGTTTTTCAAAAAAATTTTGCGGGCACTACCTAGAAGTTTGAGTAGCTCTTTTTACAAAACTAGAATATTTGAACAGTTATTTTGAAAAGATTTTTTCTGATTGTTGCAAGCAAAACAAGCCATTTGCACAATTTTATAACCCGTAGGCTACTTCAAAAATTTCGCAATTTATTCTTGGAGGCCGGGGGGGGGGGGAGGGATTGATTGTGAGAATACGATAATTCTTTGGAGCTGTCCAACACTTCTGCACACAGTCTGTAGTTAGAAAGTTATTGAAATGAGTTAAAACTACTTTAGAGTGATAAACATATTAAGTGATTTTGAATTTCAATCTCTGTGATCTGCTAACTGCACCCCCAAAGGATGTTGAGTATAAACTAAGAATTAAGGATAAATCGTTTCTGTTGAACAGCTTTGCAGTACTGCAGGGCAAGAAATAGTTGAATCAGCAGAAAAATGTGAGATAATGTGCATCAATATGGAAGAAAATGATGTTTAAATTCAATAACACATGCAACTAGGGCCATGGAAATGGCAATAGCAAACACTGGTGAGCACTACGATGAATAAGAAATGAATTTGAGAGCAATCGATGGCCACCAAGCGAAACGATTTCGATTCGAAATGGTAACGATGACTGGCTGCATTGATTTGAAAAGGTGGATGGGTCAAGGTTGCTTGACGCAGCGATTAAATTCGGCTTGCCCTCATCGGGACGTTTTTAAATTGCGGAGCACGGATTTCTCCAAAGTGATTGCTGACTGGTAGAGGAAGGCCCATGGCGGGCGTTCCTAGAGCATAATTACCCTCAAATATCTACACATCACCATTTCCTCATTTGGCGTTAAATTGTTACTGTGTCCGACCTTTTCGAGTTTTAGTTCATACTAACAAGGGAATGGTCAGAAATCGAAGTAGCCAATCCAGACAAGCTGCATGCCATTAGATCCAGCATGAAGCGCTGACTCTAATTCTGTCTCCCTTACCTGCTTATCGCTTTTGTGGACGAAGCTATAAGCCATTAAAGACCATTATTTTGCTAAGAAATTATGCATGAAGTTGAAAATTGGGCCGTACAGAGCCACTTTCGCCTTAAGGCTGGGCCAAAACTTGCAGCTAGCTTACTTAAAATTTTTGAAGCCAGAAGTTAAACGTGCAACAGTGCGCTCAATTTCGCTGTTTTTATGTATGATTCGAAATCAGCGTTTTATGCTGCATCGAATGATATGCAGCTTTTTTGGTTTGGCCACTTCGACTTCTGACCATTCCTGAGTTGGCTCCCGGGATACCAACGGGGAAAAGGGAGGGGGACCCCGTACTCAAAAAAATGACCGAAAGCTCGACAAGAAGAAAGAAAAAAGAAGTGAAAGGGTTACTCAAGTCCCACCTTTCACCCGCTTTGTTGAAACCGAGTCTTCGGATCCCTGAGAGCTTCGTGTGCCACGCGGGTCTTCCACAATTGAGGTTGGGGCGTGAACACTGAACGAAGAGTGAACGAATGATACAGTACTAGGAATACCAAATCGGCTCAAGGTAGACGCGGATAGCAACCGCCGTTGATACACACCTCAAACTTGGGTAATTAAACCCTTTATTGATCATTAATCAACAACAACAAAACATACGAGGCAAAATACGAGGCGTAAAGCAACTCTAGTCGAACGTTGAGTATCGTAGTTAGCATCAGTAAAAGGATAAACACTACACGGCAAGTATAAGGCACAATGACCTGAGTACATGAGAAGAAATAGGAAAATAGCAAGTAAACTCAACAAATAACATATGAACGCAACTGAGTAATAGAGAAACAGCAAATAGGTGCAAAAAAAATGAACCGGAGCAAATGAACCGAAAATATGGGGCAAGTATGAGATGCAAACAATGAGAACAAAAGCATATGTGCCAGTACTACCTCGGAGTTATGCAAGACGAGTGACAGCAAGGTTATGAATCAACGGCCGACGAAGAAATGCCAATTGAGGAGATCCGAGATCGATCACTGTGCGATGCTCCTTGGCCGCGGCCTAAAATACTTGGGTTTTGGCGCGCGGTAGGTCAACAGGGGGTGCTGAGGCCGGGGGTCAGATCCGGCCTCAGCACACTCCCGGGGGCCGTCAATGCTGGTAGTGTGCAAGTTGGTCTTCGAGGTAACTTCGTTCCTCCGGAAGCGGGCACAAGCTGTAGTGATGAGAACGTGACTTGCAGTACTTGCAGGACGTTCTTTCGGGACAAGGTTTTGGGCAAGTCTTGCCCAAGCAGAAGAGGCATAAGTTACGGTCTCGCACTAAGGATCTTCTTTCCTCAACGGATCTAAGCTTAGTGCATGCGTCCTCAATATGAGGGCCTTGACAGAAAATGCATCTGTGGTGCTGTGATGGCTCGGCGGCGTCTTCTCCGTACTGACGCTTCTCGCAAGGCGCTAAGTGATCAAGACGACGTTGGAGTAGAGCGTAATCTGGGTCTCTAGGGGGACGCTTGGCTGGTGGGCGAGACCGGTCTTTTCGTGTCTTCTGAGAGGTTTCCGACGGAGTGCTGGAGCGCTGGTGTTCTGACGGTTGGTCAGTGCGCAGTATGGCAGATATTTGAGTCATGAGATTGATCATGGAATTTACTATGAGTTCCGTACTGTCCGAGATTTTTCCTTCCAAATGGCGAGATTTCTCATCAATCAGCGTTGTTATCTGAAGTAGTTGCTGCGAGGGGGTTTCTTCGACTCGTTTAGCTTTCTCTTCGAGGAGCATGGATTCGATTCTGTGTAACTTGCGCAAAATAGATTCAATGTCCGGGGAACGCGTGGGGTTATTCTTGTCTTCGAGGATAGTGTGCAGAATTTTCTCGATATTGTCGAGCTTCGAGTGGATGTCGACGTCTTCGGACACATAGGGTGAGTTATCCGTCTCCACGTGTGGGTTGAGAAATGGCACGATGTCCATAACTTCGAGTGCTCCTTGTTTGCCTCGCAACAGTTGGGTTTCTTCTTGGATGACGAAGAGATTGAAGTCCTTCGAGTTGATGCGTCCTCCTGGTCGTGGACGATTTTCGAACATTTGTCGGCTAAAGAAACGCGAGGCGTCCCGTTTCACTAGGCTGTCGTAGACTTCCCATAAAAGACGAGATACAACTTGTACTTTTTCCCATCTTTCCTTCAAGTGTTCGATAGCCGCGATAAGTTCGTTCTTTAGGTCGTAGAGCGGTTTCGCTCGTGCTGGATCCGGGTCGAATACGCTGGCCTTTTCCTTGAGTTGTGAATATGCTTCTTCGATTTTTTGACGTTGCTGAATAAGCTTCGTTATTTCGGCATATACGACGTCCAGTCTCCGCTGAAGCTCCGATTCTTCGAACATCGAACTTCGTTCGTTGAAGGTGTTCATGAAGTTGTCGATGAATTCGTTTGGATCGTTCGCCATTCTGATAATAGACGTATTCGACTGTGTAACTGATTTTTCGTCTGTGCTAATGGAGTTGATTTCGTACTCTTCGGGGCTGTACGGGTACTGTTTGGAGGGGTTTCGCTTGGGGCGCCCTGGGGTTTCAGGTGAGGGTTCGCTTGGAAGTTCGGTGGGTGTAGGTGGGTTTTCGTGGGTGGGTGAGTGTTCGTGGCCGGGATCCGAATCCAGTAATTCTAGTGGTATGAGACTGTTTACTGGTCTCTTCGTCACTCTTCCGTTTGACATTCTGAGTTCGACTTGGCGTATTTGATTTGGATTCTCCGTCCCTAAATTCGTTATTAATCCCATTTTCCAAGCATTTCTCGATAAAAATGGATCTTGTATAAGTACTACTTGTCCAACCCGGGGAAGTTTTGGGGAACTACGACCTTGATGTAGATGTTTTCGATGCTGCTCCCTCAATGACGTCAAATAGCTGTCTTTCCACAGCTTCCAAAACCCGTCCGTCAGCATTTGCGAGGCGTGTAGGGCTGACTTTGCTTCGTTTTGGGTCCTGAGCTGGACAGCCTCCTCCGGAGGTAGGAAGTTGGGATCCTCCCTATCGCTGAGGCCATCGTTTTCGACAGAATACGTGATGAGTAGCCTGTTCTGTAGAAGTCTATGGGCCTTATAGGGACAATTTCGTCCGGATTTTCCTCCTGGTACGTCAATGGTCTATTGTTCAGGGTGCCTTCGATTTCTACAAGCACGGTCCTGAGTGAGTCTTCGGTGACGATTTTCCTGCCCAGGGTTTTGTAGAGCGCTTGTTTGACGTCTTTTATAAGACGCTCGTAAAAACCTCCTTGCCACGGTGCATATGGCGTGATCTTCTGCCACGTTATGTGCGCATTCGCCATGACTTGATCCACTTCGTCGTTTTTTAGACAATCCGTGGTTATTCGCTCTGCTAATGCGAAATTCGTGGCGTTGTCGCAGGTGATCGAGTCCGGAACTCCTCGACGTGACATAAATCGACGTAGGGCGTTTATGAACGCTGTCGCCGAGTTGTCTCGGATGAGCTCAATGTGCATTAGGCGGGTTGTTGCACATGTGAATATGCATCCGTACGCTTTCGAGACAATGTTTTCGTTGCTTCGTATCTTCATGGGTCCGAAAAGGTCTAGACTAATGTTTTGAAAAGGTCGTGACCTGACTACTCTTCTGGTGGGTAGATCCGCTAAAAGTGGGTACCGGAACGGTAAGTTGTTGAATTTCTGACACAGTACGCATCTCTGGATCTCCTTTTTCGTCTGTTGTCTCAACTTCGGTAACCAGTATTTCTTTCGAACCTCCGCCATAGTTAACCCGACTCCACAGTGGAGTTTACCGTTCTCTGATTATGAGCTTCGCTAAATGCGTGTTCGGCGCGATGAAAATGGGGTTTTTGGCATCTTCTTGCAGGCAACTGTTGCCTAATCTTCCGAAGCATCTCCAGATACCTTTGTCGTCTCTGGTAATGTTGAGTTTTCGTTGTTCGTTGGCTGTTATTACAGCTTCGTGTTCTTTCTGGTGGAGCTTAATAATAGTCCTTTCTGCTTGCATTAGATCTGCTCCTTGGAGTATATCCGTAGCTTCCTGAATTCCACTGGCTCTTCTGATTTTCTGCTTCGATTCCTCTGGTAAGTTCTTCGCCAATTTGTTCAGAAATTTGCCAACGTACGCTATGGTTTTCAGTCTTCGAAGCGAGCTAAACCGTTCCTCCTGTATGAGTGGGTGACCCGCATTCGAGATTTGCAATACTTCAGCAGGATCAGGGGGTGATTGGAATCGTTCTAGCCCTTCATAAATGGCGTTTTCGTCCGTAAGTGAGGTCGAAGGGCCATCCCACCATATGTGATGTTGAAATTCCTCGGCTGTGAGACCTCGTGTGGCGCAGTCCGCTGGGTTTATCTTCGTGTTTATGTAGCCGAAATAGGTGTTTACCCCTTCCTGCTCTAGTTTCTTCGCTATTTTCGTAATTTCTTTGATTCTATTTGTTACTAAGACTCCTGTAGCCTTCTGTGGGCTTTCGTTCTTCAGCCAACTCAAGGCTATTTCCGAGTCTGATAGGAGATAAACTGTGTTTATGTTGATGGTTTTCTTCAGTTCTTCGAAAGTGGATAACAACAGCCTTCCTGCTATCGTCAAGGCGTTGATTTCCAGCTTCGGGATTGTATGTGGCATCTTTAACGAGGGTAATTTCGACTTCGCAATCAGCAGGTGCTGTTCGGTTCCTTGCCTAATGTAAACAGCTGCTGCTAACGCGTAGGTGCTGGCGTCACTGCAGGCTATTAGTTGGTAGTTTCCTTGCTTCGTCCCTAGTTTTCTCGGTAGCTGCTTCGTGAAGCCTGCAATGGATTCCCACAACTTCTTCCATTGCTCCTGGTCCTCTTCAGAGAGCAAGTCGTCCCATCCATATGGTTTTAGCCACAACTGTTGGAAGAAGTGTTTGTTTCGCACCATGAGCGGTGTGAGCCAGCCTAATGGATTGAAAACTGATGCGTTGACGTGTAGTACCGCTCGTTTCGTTACTCTTGTCAGCGGTTCTCCGTCGCATCTGGCTACTAATATGTCGTCGTTAGTGAGCCATTCGATCCCCAAGACCTTACACTTCATTGAAGTGCTTCGGTCTCTTTCTGCGAAGTGTCTTCTGACCTCTGCATCATTCGTGGTGAACTCCCTCATGTTCATATTGATATCTTCGAAGATTCGTTTGACCTCTTTGTATTGTTTGACGGCTTCATCTCTACCATCCGTCGTCAAGAAGAGGTTGTCCACATACAGATTATCCTTTACTTGTGAGGCGAAATCCTTCCCGCTTTCTGTGGTATCCAAGTAGAAGTTGATGGTGGCTCCCAACAGAAAGGGTGACGATATAAGACCGAATGTCACTCGTGTGAAACGGAAGGTGACAATGTTTTCTTCGCTCAATGGTTCGTTTAGATTCTTGAGCCATAAGAGTCTTGTAGCATCTCGGTCCTGTTCGTGTAACCTCACTTGTAAGAAGGCCTTTTCTATATCCGCGGTCATAGCGATCTTTCCCATTCGGAATCGCATAAGCATTCCGCAGATATTAGGTATCGCCAAGGGTCCTTGGTGAAGGACATCGTTGAGTGACGGCTTCCCAGCATAATGAGCTGATGCGTCGAAAACGATACGCTTTGGAGTTGTTCGTTTTTCTGGGTTAACCACTGCTTGATGTGCCAGATAGTGGATGATTTTGCCTTTAGGTCGAGGTTTGCCGGCCTCTTCTTCGACTACTTCGATAATCCCTTTCTGGAGTTGATCTTTGAAGATGTTATCGAACTCCTGTAGGAATTCTTTGCGGTCTTCGTACTGTCTAAGCAGCGACTTCAATCTGGCTAGTGCAATGGATCTGTTATCTGGTAGGTATTCGTGAGGCTCCTTCCATGGAAGCCGTACATAATAGCCATCTGGTTTTCTTACGATTGTTTCCTTGAATTTCTTGAGAATTCGGTCCTCTTGGATCTGCTTGTCTTCTTTCTCAGTTCCTGTGTATTCTTCGATCCCTGAAGATTCCATCTTCCAGTAGTTATCATATATGTCTAACTCGTTATCTTCGCTACTGGTTTGTAATGTAGTGGCTACTGCTTTCCTCACAGGTTTTTTCTTTTTTCCTGAGAGCATGAATCCAAACTTCGTCCCAATGAGATGCATGCCCGAGGGTAAGTTGTACTTTTCGTTCTCCATCAATTCCCATAGGTAGTCGCAGCCTAAGAGAACGCGTGGTTGAATGTCTTTGTTGGTCTTTCTTGATAGATGTAGACCGTGTTCTTTTATGTAGCTCAAGTCTTCGTCTGTGAGCTGTGGTTCCGCCGTCCTGGATGTTAAAATTGCACAATCGTATAGTTTGCATGGATATTGTCACCTATCCTGTCCACTAAATCCACATGTACTATACGGTGCTGTTCCTCTTTTGCCAGGTTCGTTCCAAACGTCTTGAGGCGTAGATTGGAGGTTCCCTCTACCTTTAGTTGAAGTTCGTCTACTAGTTTGCTATCTATAAATGATAGCTCTGATCCTGTGTCCATGAGTACTTGGACTTGTCTGGACTGTGGGTCCTTGTATGGTGGCGGTTCCTGTTAAGAGGAGTGCTCCTGTTTTCTGGGTATTGCTTTCCCTTACATGGTCGACTCTGCTCTCGTCTTGGGAATCGCTCACCCTTTCTGGTTCACTATCTTCTTCTATGGTGACCAGGTTTTGTCTGGTTTGCCTATGTGTGGCTTGTGTTGTTCCTCTTTGCTGCATTCGTGCAACGTTGGATGTGGGAATTATTCGAGCTGGCTGATTGATTTGTTGGGGCTTCGTTGTTGTCCCTGTAGATTGTTCGTGGTTTGGCGGTGGTAATAGTCTTCGACATGTGGATGAGTGGTGCTTGAGTCCACATCTGAAGCATCCTTGACTCCTACAGTTCTGTGCTGTGTGATTTGGTTTTCCACAGTTTGTGCACAGCTGATTCCTCGCCAAGAACGCTGCCCGCTCCAAAATTGGAACTGTCCTGCATTCCACTGATCGATGATTACTTCGTTTACAGTAGATGCAGGCTGGTATCGGGCGTCTCTCCTGACCCTCTCCTCTGAGGGGTGGAGGTGGTATATGAGGCTTTGTGATCGCTCTTGACTCCTTTCTATCCTTTTTTTTCGTGTTAATGATGTCTTGTAGGTCTTTTTGGAGAACTGACCATGTCCACTGCTGATCTGAAAGCTTTTCTCGCCTTTCGAGTGCTTTCGCTTGCACTTCGGCGATGAATTTTCGTAAGACTAGGTTAAGCACTAGTCTTTGATTAACATCCTGACCTTTCGCGGCTAATTGTGTCAGAATGGCTGTAACCCGTTCCAGCAGGTTTGCCTGTTGTTTGGTGGATGTTCCATCAGCCCTGGTGGTTTCGAGTTGCAGCAATAAGTCTTCGATTATGGACGTGTCTTCGCCATACTTGCTTTTAAGTGTTTTGATGACGAGTTGATAGCTTGCTTCTACCACCTGAAACTGCGCTGCCGTTTGCTTAGCCTCTCCTGCGAGTGATTGGAGAAGATAGTTAAACTTGATCATCGTGGGGATTGGCTGTTCGTCCACGGTGACTTGGAATATGGCCCAAAAGGACCCCCATTCCTCGCGTCTTCCGCTAAACTTGGGAAGTTGTAGCCTCGGCAGCATTGATTGCAGCTGGGTGGACGGTGGCGGCGTTGTCCATCTTGACGACTCGTTGGATGCTTGAGGTGTGTTGACGGCTTTGAGTTGTCTCTCTCTTCTTCTTGCCGCTTGGGCAAAATTATCCAGTCTGGAGGAAAGTTCTGTCTCCTTTTCGTCCAGTTTGTTAAGAAGGGAGAGTGCCGTCGCTGTTAAATCCCAAGCGCGTTCGACGTACGTCTCTTGGGATGTTCTCTCTTCTTGCTGGGAGTTGCTGTCCAATGAGTTAAAGGCTTCGTGGTAACTAGTTACCGCTGCTCCAGTGCTGTTTTGGTAGTGGAGATGTTGGTGTGGCGGTGCTGTATTGATTTTATCCTGGTTCGTAGGAGATCCATTGACTCTTCTTCGTTCTCCGTGATGGGGATTTCGAAAGCTACCATATGTTGGGAGCTTTCTATCAGCTCTTCCAGTGTGTTCCCCAACTTCGTGATCCTTGTTTTGTGCGGCTTTAGCGACGGTCCCATCCTGTCTTGGTTTACTGGTCCTTGACGTCTTCGTTGGCTCCAATCGATTTCGCAATTCCGCTCGGCCTGATCTTCGTCAGTGGCCGATGCACCAGAAAAATTTTTGAGTTGGGTCCCGGGATACCAACGGGGAAAAGGGAGGGGGACCCCGTACTCAAAAAAATGACCGAAAGCTCGACAAGAAGAAAAAAAAGAAGTGAAAGGGTTACTCAAATCCCACCTTTCACCCGCTTCGTTGAAACCGAGTCTTCAGATCCCTGAGAGCTTCGTGTGCCACGCGGGTCTTCCACAATTGAGGTTGGGGCGTGAACATTGAACGAAGAGTGAACGAATGATACAGTACTAGGAATACCAAATCGGCTCAAGGTAGACGCGGATAGCAACCGCCGTTGATACACACCTCAAACTTGGGTAATTAAACCCTTTATTGATCAATAATCAACAACAACAAAACATACGAGGCAAAATACGAGGCGTAAAGCAACTCTAGTCGAACGTTGAGTATCGTAGTTAGCATCAGTAAAAGGATAAACACTACACGGCAAGTATAAGGCACAATGACCTGAGTACATGAGAAGAAATAGGAAAATAGCAAGTAAACTCAACAAATAACATATGAACGCAACTGAGTAATAGAGAAACAGCAAATAGGTGCAAAAAAATGAACCGGAGCAAATGAACCGAAAATATGGGGCAAGTATGAGATGCAAACAATGAGAACAAAAGCATATGTGCCAGTACTACCTCGGAGTTATGCAAGACGAGTGACAGCAAGGTTATGAATCAACGGCCGACGAAGAAATGCCAATTGAGGAGATCCGAGATCGATCACTGTGCGATGCTCCTTGGCCGCGGCCTAAAATACTTGGGTTTTGGCGCGCGGTAGGTCAACAGGGGGTGCTGAGGCCGGGGGTCAGATCCGGCCTCAGCACAATTCCCTTGTAAGACCACGTATTGGCTTGACGAGAAGGGGATGCCACATTATGGATTTTGGGTGTAACGATAAGCCACACTAATTCGCTGTACTCATTCCCGTGTCCCATAACATATCCTATGCATTTCTGTGTGAAAAGTTACGAGGGTTCTACGAATTTGCGCTACTAAGATAAATGCAACCTTTGCACGTAACCAGCCATTGATGAAAGGTGTGGCGAAGTGGTCTAGGGTGCTATACGGATCTGATGGTGGGATCGAATCCTTCTGAGTGGAACCTACTGGTGACGTAAAGCCCCTTCTCTAACAGAACCTCCCAAGGCTCTCAGCCCGTTTCATGTCAAAACGGTGCAGTACTGCCTTTGCGCGTGATTTGTCGGAATAATGAATGCAAGAGATTAGTAAAGATATCAAGAATATAGGACCTTAGCTGTAGCTCACGAGCTCTTCGTTCTCCCAGACGCCGCAGGCCGCATCAAATACGGTAATTGTACTACAGGAAACCAAGAACAGAAGCTCAGCCAAACGCAAAAGGAAGGATGGAATCCTTGTCGTATCATACTAGGAGAGAAGATTTTAACGCGAAGAGGAGGCGTGGATTCTGTCCTCCAACCAACCCTTAGCCACCTCCTCAACTCTTATGGGATTTTGTTACTACGATAGCGTCCTTCGACTTGCCGCTCCTCGTTAGGAGAAAATAAAAGTCAACAATGTTACTCATTCACAGAGACAACTGATGAAAGCCAGCTCGATAAGTTCTACGAGAAGCTTGAAGACGCATCTACAAGGAGAAGTCGTTCTAGGTTTATCTCGGCAACTTCAACGCAAGGGTGGGCCTGACGCGGGTCCCAGATGATGATATCATTGGGAAACTTGGTTTGGGAAGTCGGAACGAGAATGGAGACAGACTCGTCGGAATCATTGCAGGGATCATCTATTACATAAAAACTCCTTTTGCCAGAAGAGAGAATATCGCCATTGGACATGGGAGTCACCAAACGGAGCACATGCAGAAATCGATCATATACTTATCAATAAAAGGCGGAATTTGGTCGATGTTGGAGTGCTTCGTCGTTCGGCACAATTTTAAACCACCGTTTACTTTGAGTGAAGATTCATATCAATCTGGTCATGGAAAGAATATCCTCCCATCGCAAAGTTTAGAAGAAAGGTTGTATATGACGAACGCAATCTCGGATGCGAAGATCCAACAGAAGAAAAGGAAAGTTGATCGAAGGAATACGCAGCTGCGTTGAGCAGGCAGCTCTTACCGTGGAAAGAGGTAGAGGACGTTTGAAGGAACAACACCAAGATTCTACAAAAAAGAAGCCCACACGCAGATACAAGTACTTCGCAACTGAAGCAAGTGATGTACAACAACATTCGCAGGAATGCTGTGCAAGTGGATTTAGAACGATATCGACAAATGAATTTACTCGAGACAGCCAGAACAGGAGAAGCTAAATGTCGGAGAGATCTTCGTGAACATGAATTACCATACAAGCTCTACTAATTAGAGAGAAGACTAGTGCACTCCTGGCGCGAAATGGAAACGATTTTGGAAGCTACAACAAACTCTTTCTATCTATTGTAAGACGCTCATACCATACCCCACCATCTTCGCTGAAGAGCAGTCGCCGGAGATCCTTTCTTCAGAAGTAGCAGTTATAGCATGCATGAAAGCAGGCATAGCTCCTGGTCCGGATGGAATTCCCGCCAACATACTGAGCTGGCGGTCACAAGCTGCAGGCATATAACTCATATGATAGCTTATCTGGAGAAGCAGAGGGTACTCAGCCAGTGAAGATATCCCTTAAGATTCTTCTACACAAGAAGGGCCTGAGAGAAGATGTTCTGAACTCATATGACAGGTTATGTGGAGAAGCAAGGTACCCAACTAGTGAAGGACATCCCGCACGATTCTTCTACACCACATCCAAGCGTATCAAGGGTTGTGGAGGTCTGTTGAGAATACCAACCGCACCTAATCCTCACCTTGTGAAAAGTTTTTTTGACAGTGTCGAGATCAAAGCTGTTTCAACAACTTTGATCGAAGGGAGGACCCTACAAGGTATCAAGGGTTGTGGAGGTCTGTTGAGAATACCAACCGCACCTAATCCTCACCTTGTGAAAAGTTTTTTTGACAGTGTCGAGATCAAAGCTGTTTCAACAACTTTGATCGAAGGGAGGACCCTACGTATATAAGGACAATAGCAGACTGCAATACGGGGTGCACCACAACGACACAGCTATTCGACAATCCATATTGGAGAAGGGGTAACAACAAGGCGACAAGTTGTCGCTAGAACTGTTCACTGCGCACTGCACAGGTGCACGCAGTCGGTTGACTGAGATGGGAGAGGATTACGAGTGGATGTACGTTACGAATTATTGTTATTGTATGTTTCGAATTTGTATGCTGAATATGTCAGATATATATGTGATTTGAATGATATAGTTTCATCTTTGATGAGTTTGCCTTCGCCTTTAATGACTAGAGTATTTATGTGCATAATCAGATTTCCGATCACATCCTCAGTTTGAATGCTACAAATCCGTTTTCTCATTTGTGCATTGTGCATTAAAGAAGAAGGGAAGGGAATATGTGTCGGTACCGACCAGTTGCAAAGTCAACACTCGCGTATAAAGACTACAACAATTTTGCGAGAGCTTTTAAAGAGGAGTGCGATTTATAAGTTGCACCCCATCAGGATTGACTTTGTGCATTTGTGCATTAGTAGATGTTTTTCTCCTTATTTTGTGCCGATACGTTTCTTAGATTGCTCATCGAAAGCTAATCCTGTATCTATATCATTAGCTCTATCATCTCCTAAAACTTCAAATTCCCTTCGGCACTGTTACAGTGATTCTCCCTACGGATGACGAGCAGTGGTAGTTGCAAAAAATTTATTCGGACTTAAAAGCGAGGATGTTTCTGGTACACCTTGCAAAGTTTTCGCAAGCTCCCTGTTATTTCTTCCCCCCCCCCCCCCCTCCGCCCCAAGAAATTCTTGACAAGCCATACCAGATTCATAAAAAAGATAAATGTTGGCTACGGTTTTGTCCTACTTCAGTTTCATACTAGGAATCTCGTGAATGATTTGAAATGTCTAGCACGTATTCTTTATGACTGGCCATCTTTTTGGCATTTATTATCATTGCTTTTATTTTTTTGGATTCTTGCTGATAGTCTAGCCAAAAAAATCCTTCCAAAAGAAAGACGAAAAACTGTATAGAAGTCAATTCTAAACCTTTCAGACCGAGAACTTGTTCTCATTTCTGCTGTTCCAACAACTGAGTGGGCAAAAAGGCCGTCACCCCTCTAAACCCATTGACTACACTAGTAGAAAGTAAGGATTGATTTGTAACAGCGGCGCTACTCTGCAACTAACTTCTCTCCTTATTCGGCAATAACAGGATGCACAAATAAAGTGCGGCAGACCTCAAATTTCAGGTTGCTCTTGATTTTGTTCCCCAGTTCCTCGTGGCGTGAATTCTCGAATAAAGCTTCCTCCTGTTCAGTACTACTAATAATAGCTTTCTTATCGGCGCTCTGCAACATTAGCGGAAAGATAAGCGTTTCATTGGCAGTTGTACGCCTCCAGAAGTTCATTTGGGCCTTTCAAGTCATGGTTTTACTTTCCATACGTTTGCGAGTGATAGTCATATCACAACAAGGACTTCTTGATTGAATTTGAACGATAAATGAACATGGAAAACATATCAGGAATCGGTGATTTTTGTGCACCAAGTTCTATATATATTCTTCTCGCCCTGTTCCTCTCTGATTTGAAACACTTGAAGTCAAAAGAGAACCTAAGTGTATCCCATTTTTCTTCCAGGAATTGAACTCTGACCCTATTAGCTTTCTAGGCAAGTTTCTTGAGTCAAACAGAACGCATACTGCTCGTGAAGTTTTTATGCCCTGATCGAAGTGTGCAACAGAGCTGTTCCCCCCAGGACCTAGCTTTAAGTTCATTTTTTTTTCGATAGTTTGTTTGACTTCCGAAGAACTTTCTCCAAATTTCTTCAAATGACCATTTGCAGGCTTGATTGTTTCTTGTCCTTCATTCAGTTGACTGCATTTGAGACGATTGTGTCTAAGTGTACTTGTACCAAGTAAAGATCTCCGCAAATGACGAGTGGTTGAATCTTGTGATGCAGTCGTTTTTTTCCTGCGGCGGCACGATTCATTCAGTCATTTTGCAAATACTGATAAGTTCTGGACGTTCTTTGCGTGGGTTTTTTCTGTTAAGAATCTTCCTATCTTTATTTGTAGTTGTATGCGAATTTACAAGATTAGAACTCAATTCTAAAAGTTCCCTCATCTGCAATGTCGAGTTGCTTACTGTATTGAGTTATTCCTCTTGCTCTCTTTTCGGCTAATTTCCGGTGGAATGTTTGTGCTCGGCTGATATCTTTGATTCTCTGAATTTTGATGTTGCCAGTACTCAGCAGTGATGTTGTAGTGGGCAAATTTTAGGGATTTTTAGGATCATCCCTTATGTCTTGGTGTGCATTTTCTTGCTTTCTCGTATAGGAATCTTGCATTGTTATTCTTCTCAACTCGTTTTTTCTTACAAGCGATTGGAACAACTTTTTTCCACGAAGGAATATCTGCACTTCCTTGTTTCGTAGTCTTCACTCTGCTTTCAATGTATAATGGAGAGCGATTAGATTATTTTGTATCTCTTCCTTTTCTCATGCCCGTATTGGCTTTTGCTTGGAGCCTTTCATGCTGGTGCTTATCTGTTTACATAAACTTTGGCAATGCTCCGATAGAAGCATGATATGACCTCGCAAATTCGGGCATCACTCCTGACCGCAAGATCAGCGAGCCATCGTTTCCTAACTCGCAAAGTACTTCGATGTGTTTAGCGTAAATTTCCATTCTGCATCATAGCTATACTCATACTTTCTTTCTCCATAACGGTTTTGGATTTAGACGGGAACCCTGTCAAACATGGAACATAAAGAATTTCGAGAGATAGTTTCCTAGTTTAAAAAGTGCAGTAACTTTATATCTAGCCTGTGTCTCCATTCTGCGTCATAGCTATGCTCATACTTTCTTTCACCATCACTTTTTGAATTTTGACGAAAATTCTGTCACACATGGAACATGAGAACTTTCGGAGTAATCATTTCTCTTTTCGTACATCTCTTATTTCACATTTGCATCGATTCTTTTAAGCTTGGATGAATTTTTTCAAAGTGCAAGTAGAGTGAAATAGCTTGATGTCACGAGGAGTCTGCTATTTATTTACATGTGCTCAATACCGCCCTTTTTGTTTCACTGGGTACCTTACTCTCGCGTCATTGTAATTGCGGACAATTCGAGCGTCGTATTTGTATGTGTTGCTCATTGTCTAATCTGGAAATCCTGCGGATGCTCTCGTTATGTGGCCAATTCAAAGTGTGACATTCTGTTGTGTGAGTAAATTACATCATTTCGTTACTTGCTGGCACTCAAAAAAGACACTACAATTTTTGAAGGGAGCAAGTTCTTGAATTTACCCTATTTACATTTTTTTGACGAATTAGTATCTCGGATCTATTAATAATCTACAGCGTTTGATTTGTGATTGTTTTCGCATTTCCATGGGTCATCTTTCTGGGTTTGAGAGTAGTCTAACTGATTTGCTAATTTGCGTTCCTTTCTCTTTTTTTTGGTGCACTGCAAGTGTGTGAGTAGAAAAAAGTAAGAAAAAAAAATCAGATCGCGCTAGATCGTTTTTTGGGTATGTCACATTGGATCTCGCATTGAAATGAATCATTCACTTTTATCACTTTGAACTTCAGAACTTTCAAGGTGATTAGTCCAATTTTGCGTATCAACTCATTAACTGCATTCACTAATAATCCTCCTGAAACCACTCAACAATGTGACTATAAACATTGAACGAGTTATTGGCGTTCCGGCTTTTGAACTTTCCAACTGTTATTGCGTAGTATCATGTATTCACTCATCTCCACTCATGATTTTCAAATCGATTGCACTTTTCAGTACCCATGGGAGCAGGCCAGTCACGTGCCCCTTCTTCGCAGCAGGTTGGTTTCTGATTTTGTTTATTGTATAGCCGATCCAGGACTCAAATTGTAGAACGGGTCAAGCTATGGAGAATCTGGAGCTAATCAATCCGCTAACATATCCGAAGGTGAAAGATTGAAGCATGCTCGTAGAGCTATGGCTGCCGCAGGTAAATTCTCATTGATGGATCTTACCGCGCAGTTGTTTCGAATTCCTTCTTTTAGCAGGCGGAGAGTGCCCAAACACTAAAATCAAAAGGGAACCGGAACCTGAAGCGTGTAGTGGATGTCCAGTGGAAGGCTCTATCAATCCAATGAACAATGCAAGTTTCTTTGGCGTAAATCCATTGGCGGAATTTGAGTGTTTCTCATTGTAGGAGTTAGAACATCCCAATCAAAAGCCAGCACCAGATCAGCCATTTCCTCTACCCAAAGAGAGGGAAAAATCAACTATTCCCAGGGTAGGCATTTGATAAGCTGTGCTTGCATTGAAGAGTCATGATACCTATGCTTAATTTTATTTACAGGCAGGAACCAATGAAACTTGGACGTACCCCAGCCCTCAGATGTTCTGGAACGCTATGTTGAAGTAAGCCTTTTTTTCATTTTGATTTTGGTTTTGATTTTCCCTCTTTATTTGACTAATGCTGATCACCCTGTTGAATGTTTCAATCTCCTTGTGCAGATTACTAGTATATCTCAAGTTTGTTGTTGTCCTTTTTAGAAGTGCATGTAAAGTTGTTCAACTCGAGGCACCGTCCACTCAAGTTGAGGGTAATAAAATCTCTATGTTATGTAGTGGGGGGACCTAAAACGAAACACTCCCTCATTTGCTGCAAAAGATGTATTTCAAAGCGAGAAAACCGCTCCAGAACGTAGAGGAGGCCACGCTGGCTCCGCTCATCAAACTGGGTGGTCTAAAAGATTAGAAGCGAAATTGTTTAGCGTAGATAGAAATTCGCAGATTTCAAGATCACAATGTTATGGGCACATCAAAGCCCACATTTGGACTCGTCAACTCCAGACCGCCGGCGTTGATGGGCGAAGTCAGCGTTGCCTCTTCTATTATACATTTTGGAAGGGTTTTGCCGCTTTGTTCATCTTTTGCAGCGAGACTTGTTCGGAAGTCCCGCTCCATATAATATCAGAATCTCATCACGCTCAATTTGCATGGAAGGTGCTTTTCATATTCTTTTCTAATCTACTTTGTAATTAACAGAAAAGGCTGGCGTTGGCAGGAGGATCAGCTCTCAGAAAAAGACATGGAAAACATCATTCGCATCCATAATGCAAATAACGAGGAAGCATGGCATGAGGTGCTGAAGTGGGAGAATCTGCTGCATCCGTAAGTTACGCATGCTCTTAGGTTGCTTTCGTTCAACTTCGTCTTTAGAGAGTGCGCGGAACCGAAACTGAAGAGCTTCAAAGGAGATGCCAAGAAGATCTCTCCTCGAGCTCGGTTCCGCAACATATTCTTGGGATATGAACTTCCATTTGACCGGCACGATTGGGTTGTCGATAGATGTGGGATTAAGGAGGCAAGTATCAATCAATCATTATGAGATTCATATGATTGTCCACAGGTCGCTGTTCTGAAGAACATAGAGAGCGTTTTTCTTCATTTGAGTATAGAGTAACTGCAGGTGGCTGCTAATGTTTCTCAAGCTCACTGATCTTTCCTGTATATAGGTTCAATATGTCATCGACTATTATGATGGCGGTTCTGTCGATCCTCGCTCAAAATTATTCACTATTCTCGACGTTCGGCCTGCACTCAACGACCTAGGAAATGCCTGGGATCGAATGGTTAGATTTTCTCCTGCAACTTTTCGCAAGTGCTCATTTTTTGTTTTCTTTTTTATAAGAGAAAAAACGTAGCATTTTTTCTTTTTATCACAATGAGATAACTGCGTCATGCCGATGCCGACAAGCCAAAGTATAAAAGCACTTGCAGGTGGTCGCTTATTGGCGGTTCAAATTCGATTTTCTCGGAATGACTCCGAAGTTGCCTATTCCACCTACGGAAGGAGATGCTCATGTTCAGCACTAGCTGCTGATGTCGTGAGATTGTTTTTCTCAGGAATTTTTTCTTATCACGCTACCTCTTTTTAGTGCTAACTCTTTAGTTGCTTCGTTTGTGCCTTATAGCATTTGGTTGTAAAATTTTTGTACTTTCAATTTTTGCGCCTTTCACGTAGTATAGGATTAGGAAGTTTTCCATTATAGTTTGCTGTTGAAATGTTATAGATATGCATGTTAGAGTTTATAATCTTAGTCATTTGCGAAGCTCTATTCACAATTCATCGCGGTTACCATTTAGTCAGGATAGACTAGTTTTCTTTTTCGGTGACATCTAGCGATTTTTTGTTTTGTCTACTGATAAAGCTTATCAGCGCTAAATATAGTCGTTCATATTTTGTTTCGTAGCAATATTGATATATGCTAAGTATTTGGACCAGTGGTAGAATAGTTTTTGTTGCGAGAAAGTGAGATGCGGTGAGTGGGTGTTTGGTCTGATGAATGTCTTCTGTAGGCGGCTCTAATCTCTATCGTATCTCTTCAAATTCAGACATTGAGAGACTCAGTATAAGGGTTCATGCTTCGAACAGTGTGATGACGATCCGAGTTTGCTAATTCTGCATTCGTAATGTCTTAGGAGTTATGTGGTTTTGTTGGTGCGAAGTGTCTTTGACTTACTCTGGGCAAATTGACTAATGAGACAATCTGTGTATGTCTGCCTCGCAGGAATTTGTACTATAGATGCTGTTTGTGCAGCATCTCCCACCGGTTCCAATCTGTTTGAGAGAAATTTGAGCATTCTGAGGGTGTAGTCGTGTTGCCTTTTTTGGGCCACATCGTATGTCAGAGAAGATCTTTCGTCAAGAACTTGTACGCGAGCTTGCTGCCTCATTCTATCAAACCTTTTTTTCGAGGAGGAGTGGTGATGTTATTTGTTTTTTCATATGTGGTTTGCAGTTTTGTAAGGTAAGAGTGCCGGAGGTTAGGGGTTGGTCGCGATATGCACGTGATTAATGCATTGTGGCTACTCTCTTATCTTGCACTTCCGCAGCTTCTCAGTTGTCTCTTCCAAAAAAAAAATATCCGCAACGGCAGCATCACATGCGCAAGTTGTGCACAGTCTGTTACCTGAGAGTATGCTGAGTCTGTGTGCGAGAGATTGGGATGATACGAAAAGATCTAACAATTAGTACTTCTTTCGTTAGATTCGTCAACATGTGGTTTGTTTTCGGCTTTCAGAATGTCACTAGTCTTTCGCATTGCACTCCAAGGTGCATCAGGCTTTACCAAACGATTTTATACCGCGAAGTCTTCAGTCACCTTGTTGAAGACGAATGTGCTTCAACCCATGTAAGTTTTAATGTTCACCACTTTGGTAGTTTTTTTCGTAATGCTTCAATATGCACATTCACTGATCTTGAGCTGAGATTCCAAGAATAATGCAAAATTCACCAAAGACCATCATTTTGTGAGAAAGAAAGAAGGAAGGGAAGAAGGGGTCAAAACCGGCTCAAACATCCAACAGCCAGCCGTTTTAAAGCCATTTCACTAGCGGAAGCGCTTGGGATGAGTCCGGAATCAGGCTGTGTTTTCAGGAAAATTTCGGTTCGCAAATGGGGCATCGATGTTTCCGGAATGAATGCCAGACAACGCAAAACAGTTGGATGTTGGCTGTTTTTATGCGCAGGTATGTGCTACGGTGCTGTTGCGATTGGAGGATTGACGAGGTCTGTGGGATGCTTGGGTTCGATAATAGCTGAACTGATCTTTGCAGACTGACTGAATCTGGCTTGAGTATGGTCAACTGGGACCTCTTCCGATCTATGAGACCTCCTCTGACTCGAAAAGAATGGGAAGAGGAGTTTGAACGCTACAAGCAGTACCCAGAGTACAAATAGTGAGTTGTTCTTCAACTCTGCCTTATTCTCGATCATCGAATTTCGTCTAGTAAGTGTTCTTCGGAGGAAATGACAATGTCGCAGTTCAAATTCATCTGGCATATGGAGTATGGACATCGAATGTGGGGTCGCATCACTGGTGTAGTAAGTTTCTCATTTTCTTCTGGTGATCGTGGTCCTTTATCAGAAGTTTTTAGGTCTTCCTCTTACCTTGTATATACTTCTGGGCACGAGGTTACTTTCCGCCTACGATGAAAAGACGCATACTCATCGCTGCTGCTCTAATCGCAGCACAGGTGAGCAGGCTTGCATGGCTGTACCACTAGCTTATGTTCGCCGACGCATCTCGCAAAGCTTCTGAATTCTGGAATGGTCTCAGGGTGGCATTGGTTGGTGGATGGTGAAGTCGGGTCTTGATCCCTCTCAGAACTCGGAAGCAAGCGTACCACGTGTGTCACAATATCGGCTTGCTACACACCTCACTATGGCATTCCTGCTCTACTCTATATTCTTTTACAACGGCTTAAGTCATTTTATTGACCCGCAAGCGCAGGTAGGTCATCGCTTTTCTTGTTTTAACAAAGATGCTGTTTATCCACAAGCACATCTACAATTGCACATCGCACATCTACACGTATGATGCAATAACGCAGGATGGCGCGATGGTATAGGCGTGGTTATGCAGGCCTTTGAGCCCTGCGCATATCCTGTGATTGTCAAATCACGGTCTCCATGCGATTTGGCGTTTTGTAAGAGATGCACAAACGCATAGAGTCCATACTTTGTCGCAAACCTAACACTCTTAGGCCGGTATGACCAGTGGCGTACCGAGGGTGATGGCGAGGGGGGGGGGTTTGCCTACCCCCCCTTAGAATGGGTCGCAAAATTTTTGAAACTTACATGAATGGAATTGTGCAAGTGACTTGTTTATACTTGCAAACAATTAGGATAATTTTTGCATCTTTTGAAAACTTAATTTAGCCTTATAAAAATTTTTTTCGGAGGTTTGGTTGGCCCCACGCGTCCATTTTCTGGAATTTCGGGGTTAGAGCCTCGCAAAAATTTTGAGAAGCTTACCAAAAAATTTTTCGGAATGCGTGGCGAGTGTGAGGCGAACGCCACGCACCTTTACCGGAAAAGTTTTTGTCGCCCCCCCCCCCCCCTCCCCAAACGGAAATTGTGGGTACGCCACTGGTATGCTTTAACGTCTCTGCGGCGAAGGGAACGCATCACCATGATGAAGCCGCAGCAGCGTAGCGTTCGTTTCATTCCTGTGATTCTATAGAAACGAAAGAGTGAGGCTTGTGGCTCACGAATCTGAGAGAATTCCGTTCCGTCAATTACTACAGCCGCACATCAAGACAGATAGCAAAATCTACATGAAATGCCGGCTCAGTGCATCAACACCAGGTTTTATGAACACCTTGGGAAATGTAGGAGGGACGGAAAATCTGGTTGTATGTTAAAATTTTCAAATGAAGTTGCTGGAATCAATTAATAGAGTAAGGTATCAGTAGCGTAAACACGCTGGTTTAGAAGTATTTGATCAAGTATTAACCAAGTGACCTATCACTCGAAAATTCAGAACGGCATTTACTCTGCTACACTGGGTGGCTCTGCCAAGCAGTTTTCCATAGTAAATGGACAGGTGTAGTTTTTGGTTGGGATTGAGTTGATTGAAAAGATGAACTGTTGCCATTTCAGTTGACGAAGCTAAACAACTTCGGAAAGCTCCGCATGCTGGCTCACAGCTCCAAGGCAATGGTATTCATCACGGCTGTCATGGGTGAGTTTTACATCCAGTGAATACATTTGCTTTGAGTATCAAGTTTTCCTTTTTAAGAGGCTAATTTTCAGGGGCCTTTGTCGCCGGACTGGATGCTGGACTTGTTTACAACTCTTGGCCGAAGTTTGCTGATAAATGGATACCAGAGAATATGCTTTCCCGCTCACCGAAATGGAGGAATTTCTTTGAGAACGATGTCACCACACAGTTCATCCATCGCAACTTGGTTTGTTTATCCCCATGGTTCCAAACCTGGCATGAATATTGTTGGTTGAGGCTTACTTGACGTTGTTGACAATAACTGTCACCTGGGTGGTCGGATGTCGAGCTGGTTTGCCTCGTCGAGCCAGACTCGTCCTGCATTCAACTGTGGCGATGGGCTATCTTCAAGCTACTCTTGGTATCTATACTTTGGTGAGTTGCGCAAGCCTGGCTACAAAACATTTTACAATCAGAGTCCTTGTAGCATATGTACATTTAGTCAAGAAGATAATTTGCAAACATTTTGCAGCTTTACTACGTTCCTGTTTGGCTTGCCTCACTCCACCAAAATGGCTCAATGGTGCTTTTAGCTTTCACTTTATGGCTGACGAACGAGCTGCGTCGTGTTCCCAAGTAAATCTACCATTAATTAACACTTTTCTTTTAGTCGTTACTAACTAACCATTACCTCTTTTGTTGTGATTTTGTTGTTCTGTACTCCCTGTGATGATTGTTGTTAAGTTATTACAAACTCATGTAACCGGTAAATTAGAACCGGTATTCTCACCTTGCAAAATCGCTAGGTTTGCTGAACCCTGACAGGTCTCGAAGGCGATAAGCATTGCACTTTTTATTTTACAATGCTTCGGCTAATTCTGCATTCTAAACTAGCTATTCGAGCAACTGAAAGATTTTTACTTTTTATGTATGGTTCAGCAAGCACGCTCATTGTAATCCTTGTTCAATTGATCTGGTATGTCATGTGTGCGCTTATTTGAGTTTTTTACATTCCGGTGAGAAGATCTGACACTATCTTTCGAATTTATATGTTTTATTAATCAATCACTAAATTTAAGTGTTTCTATTCCCAATGATGAAATTCTAACATCTTAGAAGTTGTTATTTTTACATAGTCATTATTTGAAACTTTGTTCCATTTCCTAGTCATAGCTTGTTATTTACATTGGTGATGTCTCAACTAACCATATAAAAACTGTTTTTATCGAAAATTTGTTTTTGAATAAAGTCAAAAAGTTCCAAGTTTAGGCGAATGACATAGCTTGAAGTAAACTTGCTGCAGTGAAAAGTTTCGAGATTGAATGGAGTAACAAATTGAGGAAGAAACAGTCCAACAAGAAGGCGGGAATCTGCAAAGCTGGACGAGCACGACGGGTGTAGGGCTTTTCGCACGACCATAATTCTTTCCGCGCAGGAGCACCGTCGCACGCGACACACCCTGCGGCGGCTTTTGCCTAAGCAAAGCTAGGGGAGGGAGAGATTGCGGCGTGTGTGACGTGTTGAGACAAGTCAAAATCAGGGTAGCGCTAGGTACCGTCCGTGCGAAAAGACCGTCTTCCGAGCACGACTCTATAGGCACCCGCCATACTTGATCCTCTTGATCCGCAGCAGTCTGTCATTTGGCGCCGCGTAGGTAAAAAGGAATCGCGTATAGTTAAGCAAATTCGCTGTACGCGATGCCAAATGACAGACTGCTGAGTGCGCGCGTTTTGCACGAAGCGGATCAAGTAGATTAAGCGGATCAAGAGGATCAAGTATGGCGGGTGACAGAAAAAGGAAGGAAGGAAGGCATCTCGAGTTTGAATCTCGATACTTTGACCACTTATTCCCCCTCGGATTTTAACTGCGGAACTGTATGTGATTATTCCAGCGCCGAGCTAAGATATCTAGATGATCAACAGCTTCTCATTGATATACCGTTTTTTGCGGTGCAACTATCCATGTTCTGCATCTAATCGGTTGAGAACAATCAGCAAGGACCCAATACTTTGGTTTTTCTCTCGAAAAAAAGACCTGAAGACTTTCGATCCTGCTTTTTTTCTGCAACGCAGGTTTGAGATATCTGAAATGACTGAATTAGATAAAAATGACCAAATTTCTGAATTTGTAGTTGCTGCCGTTGCGTAGGCAGTAGCAAGTAGTGGCGCTGAACACAGCTGTGTGATTGCGTAGATCGAAGGCAGCTGTATTTATAATTCTACTAGCGGCCCTAAGGGCCGCTTGCAAGTATGCTAGGGTACATATAGTCATCACCACAATAACCTCTACGTTTTATACCTTTTTAGGGTTCTGGGCAACTGAAACCGAGTAATAAATGACTTTTGACTCTTCTGATTGTGAGAATCCTCTTTGCTGATTATTCGATACCTTTTGACTCTCTTCTAAAAATTTTCTTTGGGTCAAATGTTTGCACCAATCTCAACAGAGTCACCAAGCAGTCGACTCTCAAAGCGACAATGTAGTCTACACTCAGCTAAACACTCAGAAAGTACCTCAGTTCCCGAAAAATTCCGGCAGCGAAAACAAGCATTGTATTCTCATGCCTTATGCGTCGCCTATAAACCACTTTTTGCAAATACGTACTGCTCCGCGCCTTCAGAGCGGTATATGTGAGAGCTGCCCCACGATCCTGGAGAAGAATACTTCAAGAAAAACTTTCCTACAGGCCTCCTACAGAGCGGTAATCTGAGGAAATAGTGCCCTTCATACCCCTACAAATGATATCGTATTCTGGGATAAGTCTGCCATACAATCCCCCCCCCCCCTACAAATCGAATATTGCGGGGAAGCCTTTAAGCTGCTTACAGACGGAAAAATTGCCCTATGGTCCGCCCGCGGACGGTAATTAGTCATAGAAGGAAATGCCCTATGGGCCGCTTACAGACCCTTATTTTGACAAGACTACACTGTGGGTTGCTTACAGACTGGTATTTTTCAAAAAAGATATTTTCAAAAAAGAACTGCTCATGTAGAATGATCCTACGAGCCGCTTACGGACCTTTTCCAGAAAAGGTTGCCCTATGGACGCACACAGACCGATATCAAGAAGAAATTGTCCTTCAAATCTTCAAACCAACTTTCAAAAATTGTCCTAAGAGCCGCTCAAAGTCTATTATTGCAAGAAGCAGTCGCTCGCCCTATGTGTAGCACAAGCTGGTATTTTGAAACAACAGAAGCTATGAGCTGCTTGAGACATATCTTTACGTAACTACCATCGATATATTAGAGAATATAACTGCCCTATGCGCCGCTGCAGAGTGGTAGTTATAGAAAGAAAATGCCCTATAGGCCACTAACAGACCGATGTTTTGAGAAGTTACTCACAGTCCCCTACAGACCGAGGTTTACAAGAACCCCCTTCCCCTTCCTCCGTCGTTCCTCTCCCAACAAACCCTACTGGAGAAAGAACCGTGCTGAGACTGCCCTAACAAGGGAAGTGTCAGAAGTCGCAGTGGCCTTTTGACATGGGATGGGTACCATCTTAAGCAGCTTTAAATGCTGATTCCAAAACAAACTTTCTTAGCTGCAGAACTGATCTGGGTCGCGAGTTATGGGCATTTTAAACATTAAATTTTACACTGTTTGAAGTACTCTGTGATCACGGGAACCTTTCAATTGCTTGTTTAAGCACCACAGCATGACTTTGATGAAGGCGTAGGATTACGTTAAACATTCTTGGACTGTTTCATCTATGTTTGAGCCCGAAAAAATGTTCGCTTTAATTTTTGGCTATTCTCAGCGTTGTAAATTTCCCGCAAATTAAATTCAATAACTCTCGTCCTAGAATAGTTCTGCAGCTAAGAAAGGCTGCTTTGGAATCAGCATTTCAAGCTGCTTCAGATGATACTTATTTCATGTCAAAAGGCCACTGCGATTTCTGACACTTCCCTTGTAAGACCGATATTCTGAGAAAAGGCTATCTTACCCTCCCCCCTCTTCCTTCCCCCACAGACCGATAATTACAGGAAGCCCTGCCCTATGGGGGATCAGCAGATATTCCAGATTACAGATCTACAGCCCCTACAAACTGTATTGCCCTACGAGGCACTCACGTATAATCTGCTCTATGGACAGCCAAAGACCGAAGTCTTGAGAAAGAAGCTGCCAGCTACTTATTGTTAGAGGCCTACACAATGGTATTTTGAGGAGGAACCGCCCTTGGAACCTATATACAACCAATATTTTGTGATAAAACTGCTCTATGGGCCACCTACAAACCATAATTTGAGAAAGGACTGCCTTATGTGATTTTACAGACCAATATTTCAAGAAAAATTGCTCTATGTGCCGCTGCAAATCGATAATTTCTAAAAGGAGCGGCCGAGCGGGGAGGGGGGGGGCTTGCCAACGATAATTTGTAAAGAATCGCTCCATGGGCCTCTTGCAGCATTTTGGGAAATAACCGCTCTATGGGCGCTCACAGACCAATATATCAAGAATTGAGCTGGAAACCCTCAAACCAATATCTCGAAAAAAATTGCAGCCGTTCAAAGACCGATATTTGAGAAAGAGCGCTTTCCGAGTCCCTTATGAATTAGTCTTCTGAGAGAGAAAAAATAATTAGAACAGGTTACAGTATATCTACGCCTCATACAAACCAACTTTCACAAGTAACTCCTCTACGCGCCGCACACAGACCGACAATTTTAGGAGGTGCCCTAGTCGCTTATACATCAGCATTTTGAGAAACAAGTACGAGCCTAAAAAGTGCCTGATGAGAAGCTTATGGAACGATAATTGTATGACGATTCTACGAGCCCTTCCGCTCCTCTTCAAATTCATATCTGAAAAAAAGCGCATTATGGTCCACCTTTAGAACTATAAATATGAAAATAAAATGTTCCCCTTGCGGACCGATACTTTGAGAAGGAACCACCCTACAAATAACCGCTAACTGGATAATTGTCGAAAAAACTCCTCAGGGGAGCTTACAGATCAATATTTTTAGTAGAACTGCCTTACTGGCACCTACAAATCAAGAAAGAGCCCTATGAACAGATTAAGCATTGAAAGATATGCCCAATGAGCAGCGAACAGACTGGAGTTGTGAGAAATGATTGCAGAGACCTATAAGAATAGCCTTACGACTTACCAACTTATTTCAAGAACAGAGAACTGTCCTCATCAATTCTCACCAACTATGCCAGCTATGAACTTTAACTAATTATGGGCAGCCAAGAACTTAAGCAGGAAAATGGAAATGTGAGCAGTCGAAGGGTAAACGTTGAGGAACTATTAAAGCATGTCTACGCTAGACAGCGAGTTCCGAATCATTCATACCGGCAGAGTTCAAACTTGCGAAAGAAGGGGGGGGGGTACTGTTAGCAACCTTACGAGAGTGTCGGCCCCTTCCCAACTATAGCCTTTTTGCACTTAAGAACCGCACCCCTTTTGGACGCCTTCCTCGAGGAGACACGATATTTACCACCCCCTGTACCCCTACGAAAACACGCTAGCCTTGTAGACAATCTGCACCCTCCGCACCCTCGGCAATCACTCGCCTCAGTCCGCAACTTGTCAACATGTAAGTGCAAAACCTTGCCATTCTTTATTATAGAATGATCCTATTGTAATTTTGGATCTATGTGGGAGATGAGCAAATTTGGGCTTCATGAAAAGCTCAGCAGTATTATTTGATGCAACGTACAATGAAGTGTTTACGGAAATACGGTGTTATGAGAACATCTTTGAAAGAGAACAGATTCGGCTTGCGTTTAAAAAATTGAGGTTGGCATTTTTTGTAAAGCGAATGCAAGTGGCTTGAAACAGATTTTGAAAAAAGCTACGCTGTTTTGAAAATGGTTTCCACGTTGAAAGGCCCACCATCATGTAATTCCTGAAACGTAAAAAGATAGTTCACCCCTGAAGAATGCATAAGAGATTTTTGAAGTAGGGGGAATATTTTGGGAAGCATACCAAAAATTTGGAGCAAATCAGTTGAGGGATGTGATTACAAAGTAACAGACTTTTGGGGGCGAAAACGAGCAGCTCAATAACTTCATTTCTGAACAGAGATTTATGCTGCAACTTAAAAAAAAAGGATTCAAAGCTATATAAAGGCTGATGCTTGTCATTGTACATGTGGTGTTAAAGAAATTATGAGAGATATCAAGGTTAGTGGAAATTCACAGACTTGGACTTGTTTTTTGATTCAAACGTTTCTTGTTCCAAGAAATTGCAATTTGATTATCCTCTTTAGGCCCCGGACAGACTTCACGCGATTTGATCGTCGCGACTCAATCGCCGACATTTCCATTCATTTTCATTTCACATTCAAAAATTTCGGGCTGGAAAAGTATCACAACCGAAATGCAAGTTGATCGGCATGGAATGACGTTGTAACAGTTGTCTCGTCGCGATCCAGTCGCGACGATCAAATCGCGTGAAGTCTGTCCGGGGCCTTAGAATGCAGATGGTAGAGATGAGTAAAATGCAAAAATTGCAATTTCTTGAAAAGGGTCATGAAACTCGAGATGACAGAGATCTAACTTTCAAGAAGACACCATTGAAACTGTTCATTGTGAAATCGTTTGAGATCATTTGAGACTTGTGGAATCGATTGATTTTGGAATGGATAAAAGTGGATATTTTGAACAGGCGATTTTTTTTTCGAACAGGTGCTTGAGAAGCATTTTACACAAAAACTGCAACTTTCTGAGGGAGGATTACACATTGAGTAAAGCATGTGTTTGTCATAATACACAAAACAAAAGAATCATGAAAGGTTGAGGAAAATCACAAAACTGAATATGTTTCGTAGCAAAAAATTGCAGCTCAATATTTTGAATATTTTCGAAATGTGTGATTTTGCTCAAGAAGCATGATTACACAGGTTCGTTCACATGATTGAATTGTTTCTTCTTAGAAAATGCTAAATGACGAAGGAATTGATAACTGACCTGTTCCAATGACTCGAGTAGAGGTGCTGCTGCAATGTGAAAATAGAGACGTCGTGTTGTGAAGACAGAATCAATCGATGTTACCGCTTACAGCTTTTAACTTTTTGGAGATTACACTTTAAAGATTAGGGTTTTCATCAACATCGTCTAGATCGGACATCACTGGCATAATGATGAGTCCTCAGACAAATGATTGGAACTTCCCAGAGCGCTTGCGGAAGTCCTGCGGGTCACCTGCGGAAGTTCTGTAAACGTGCTGCGGAAGTTCTGAAATGAGGTCCTGCGGAAGTGCCGAAGAATGCCAACCACAACAGCAAAAGAGAACACCGAAGCGAGATTTGAACCTCACTCTATTGACTGTGAGACCCACCTACTATCCTCTACGCTACGGCTGACATGTTCGATAATGCACTCTAGTTGTTGGCGAGGCAACATCACAAGACAACACATTCAAAGTCCTGCGGAAGTTCTGGCAGGCTAAAGTGCTGCGGAACCTCTAGCATTTTTCGAATTTCCGCAGGATTTTGAAGAAGATCCTGTGGAAGTTCCGGTTTTCAACCAGTTTGGCATGAAAATCCCGCGGAAATTCCGATTTTCAACGTTTTTATTTTTGCAATAGTGAACAAAATTCTGCGGAACTTCTGCAAATCTGGCTTGTCCTCCGGAAGTTCCGGTGATTTGTCTGAGTCATCAACCCTGTACGCCTGCAGCGGCATGTTACCGCTTACAGCTTTTAACTTTTTGCAGACTGCACTTTGGACGTTAGGTCATCAACATCGTTTGGATTGGACATCACTGGCATAGTAATGAGTCATCAACCCTGTACGCCTGCAGCGGCGCGCAACGACAAACCTGTCGACATCTCACGAGGGGGGGGGGGGAATATTACAGAGAGACACCGGCGCTTTATTATAGAGAGAGATGAAGTTGAGAAAGGTGTTATTCATTGCCGCTAGCTTAAATCCAAGAAGTCCAAAAGATTATGAGATCACTATGGAACCCACCGCTTGGATCAAGATTTCATCAAAATAATGGAAAGGAAGCCATGAAAAGATAACTTCGACTGCAACGTAGTATAAAAGCCAAAAGTTGAGTTTTGCCTCATTTGTATTACTTTAGTTGGACAGTTCTGTCCGTCTTTATCCCAACTGCGAATATCGATTGGCTACGTACTACTTCTTGTAATGTACTTCTGTCTTCCCTTTCGCTAAACAAGATGATTAGGGAGAAGGCTTTACAGATTCGATGGATGACGTTGGATGTTAGGATGTTCGTGGGATATTCCTCTTTCTACTGCGCTCTGTTGTTGTTATTCATACAATGTTGCAAGAAAAAGGTGTCTACGCAAACAACTACACCCCCTATTCTACAAGAGAAAGTTGGGCAGGTCAGTTAACGAAGAAATTATCTCGAAGGAAGAAGAGCTTTTTGTGCTGCCACATTCAAGTGATGTGCAGTTGGATCTCACATATGTGCTTTACATAGACCACTTTCGCTTTAGCTTCTCATTATTAAAAGCAAACTAAAATGCTTTCCAATAGAAGGGCTCCTGCAGCTCCCTTGGCAATCAAGATGTCAGCTCCTTTCATTTGGACCAGAGACCTTGAATTAGTTGACAGCACTCGCAGACGTGATGCAGATACAATAAAATTGAGGCACTCCCATTTGCAACTTGCATATCTAGGACTATACTAGCTGCAAATACAAGCAATGATCCGGAACCGTATCGAGGGCTAGGCTCTGTTTTAGACACAGAATTTGAATACGCAAAGCCTGAGTATTCAATAATGGCTAATGAACCACATCCACTAAATTACCACTATTCAAAAAATAACACTTTATTATTACTAAATCTTACCCAAATCTGCAATTGGACGGTCCATCAGGCTACAAGCACAATTAGCGAAACATTATAGCAGGTGTTGTAGTGACGCTGCCATCTGCATACATATCTGAGTAGCAGTAATACTAGCACAAGTTTGACCTTTAAAGCCAAAATTGCACTTGATGTCGTGATCATACCTCTATTTTCAGTTTTCTGCATCTATTTGATCGGTCCGAAGTGCGTGCCGTTTTGGGCCTATTTAAAACATCAAAAGGGGCAAGCAAAGCACTAACCGACACAGCTTTTCTTCTCCTTTTCAGTGCATGTTTCTTACCTAATTGCTTTTGTAGTCATCGCAAAAATCGTCGAAGTTTTGAACCCATGATTTCTACCACGGCTTTACCAAATTTACCGCGACTTTAGCAAATTTTCAGAACTTCATTTTAGACTTTGGGAAGCGTTTGTAAAGCAGTTAAATAGAGTAAACAAGGTGAAAGGCATTACATTTTCTGATCTGTATCCGCTTTCCATCATTTTCTAATGTTTTCCAAAAGCCTTCATTTTTGCGAAGTAATGTCATTGAGGAACACATCAAATACGTCGAACCTTCGAAGCTCAGTACTTCCAACGATTGGTTATAAATTATTAATTTCACAAGAGAAATGGGTTGCCGCTTAAAGGCAGTAGGTCGGCAGAATGAGACCCGTGGCAAAACAAGGTCACAGGGTAGGAGCCCTCATAATGGAACCTATGGGCAAAGTTCGATCTTTCTCTGCCACTTCTAACCCCCGAAATTTCAAAGCGAAAGCAGCGCTCATCTCCTGTCCTCTCCGAACCCGCCCACCCCATGGACGAGTGAACGCGAAGCCCGTCATGGCGAAGACGCAGAGTCGTTGCGGGACCTCATGCTTATAGCATTGCGGCTGGCGCTCTGACCGCGGAAGTCACTCGTCCATGGGGTGGGCGGGTTCGGAGAGGACAGGAGATGAGCGCTGCTTTCGCTTTGAAATTTCGGGGTTAGAAGTGGCAGAGAAAGATCGAACTTTGGCACATAGGTTCCATTATGGGGCTCCTACCCTGTGACCTTGTTTTGCCACGGGTCTCATTCTGCCGACCCACTGCCTTTAAAGCATCGGATTTTAGACTCGCTGATCACAGCCTGGGGCGCGTTTAAACAAGAGTTAAAATTTTTCGCACTCACAAATCGAGAAGTGAGAACACCGTCTGAAAGAGGAGATAGAGGTGCATCGAAATACACCCTTGTTTCGCGATGTTTGATGTTTTTTATGAGGTTTTGGCTGAACTTGGCAGCATCAGAAAAGAATTCATTTTTTGAAAACTAACAAAATCTGAAAATGCATTGCATGCACATTGTCCACGCTACTTTGTCCTCGAAGCATCTCTCAAAAGTCTGAAATAGATTCTTGCAAAATTACTAAACGTTCAGCAGACATGGTGGAAACTATGAGTCTAAAATTCGGCGGTTACCGTGTCTACCAGAGCAGCTATTCAGAGAATTACTGCTGAAAGGAGAAAAGCGTCGAACACTATTTAACAAGTTGACGACCGCGCCATTCTGGGCGAAACTTCCACTAACGTCCTTCGCGCATTTGGCCCGTGCATATAGGGCTCCTGAATTGCAGAGTCGTTTGCAACAGCGGTCGCGCGACCGCTTCGCGCCCGGGCATTTTGCCGGCGCCGGCGCCATCGATCGAGGCGGCACCATTGATGCCCGGGCGCGACGCGGTCGCGCGACCGCTGGTGCAAACGACTCTGCAATTTAGGAGCCCTGTATGCCCGTATGCACGAAAACATTATGCGGGAGTCTTTTTGACGCTTATTCATACAACATGCGAACTTTGTTCAGAGATACATGTATATCACAGAGTGTTACCAAAACTTACACAAATCAAGGTTTTTGCATCGATACCTCCAATAAATCATGCAATGACTATACCTGAGGAGTCCCTCCTCGAGAAAAGCGTTGTAATACCGGGTGTTTTTACCTGATTCATCTTTGTTTGCTTCCAAAGGAGCTATACATTGTTTTCACCTTCTCGGGAAAACGTAATTAGCATATATTTACCACATCAAAGGACGGATTACCCAGTTTTGCGGCCAAAACTTCTGAACAGCTGCCGCGATGCCCTGAATTCTGTAAGACAATTAGGCCGCCAGTAGTATTACTGCATAGAAGTTACCTCAAAACTTTTCGTTTACACCTAAAAAACTAGCGTGCATATGCGCGGATGCACGAAGACGTTAAAGGAGTCTAGCGTGCATACGTACGTATGCACAAGGTCGTCAACGTGTTAAATCTCTTGTCTAGCTTCATGAAAAGGTACCTTCTGGAACTATCTAATACTTTGTAGACTCACTACGTTTCGGTTTCTTGTTAGTTGATTCTCATCTTCCCTTCATTGGCGGATAGGTTTCGTTATAATTTGTAGAGCAGGTCATACGTTCAATATGGCAAGCAGCGCCATACTGCGCGGTCTCCGGATCTTCCATGGGGCACAGTATTTTCATGTGTGTCATACAGCCTGTTATCCGCAGTTAGCTCAATCAGCTCTAATCTCATACCGCAAGACTCTCTTTAAATACGCGCTAAAACACTGTCAGCTTACTGCCTTGACAGTCTTTTACCCTTTGAATATGTAAAATATCCAAAATCATCTGCCTTCATTTTTGGTAATCTTGTCATCTTTCGATAGGTTCTCCGGTGAGAGTTTGTATAAAATTCGAAAGGAGCAAGTGTTCAACGACTCAAGCTGTCCTCAATGGTGGGGCTCATGTGATTGCGAGAATTTGATTTTGACGCCAGTAATTTGATCAGCTCCACGAAGATGGCACCAACTTCTCAATCTACTTTTGACAAATAAAAATTGTTAGTCTCTTTTCCGCGATTACATTGACAATCTTCAGAAAGAACCAGCTACAAAAGAAGTGAGGCAGACTTCGAAAGAAACAGCAGCAGCAACTCCGCCGACAAAACACCAAAAAGCTTCTGACATGCAGCATAAGTCACGAAGTCATACCGACAGTCGAGCCTCTAGTTTACATGACGACAAGATGCCACGTGCACAATCGCGACAACGTCTCAGCTCACTGCGTATGCGCATCGCAGAACAGAGAAGTCACAACGAACAGAAAGAATTGAGTCGAAATACGAAGCATAAATCCAAGCGACGCGGTAAGTACGAATTTCACAGTAAGCCTTATGAAAACATGTTGAGGTAGGTTCAGTACATCGTGCTACATACAATCCATGATTTGAGTATGACCAGTATACAGATCAAACTCTCAAAGGCGTCTATTCAGATTCTCGACTTCCAAGTTTCTGTTGTTCCCGAGCTTTCTCATGTCCATCATTCCAAATATGAATCTGCGAAAACCCCGACATCGCCTTTTGGGGCGGGTTCTCCGGAACGGCGATTGGATGAACGAGCACGGAAGGGCGGGCTCTACTGGAGGCGGCGTTACCACCAAGGGGTCCTCTGCTCTAATCGTTGTTTCAGAACAATTTTCTCCCTGAAGCGACACTTTGCGCCATGATTTGAGCATTGCTTGATAGTGGACTCTAGACTATCGTATGCTGTCAAAAGCTCACGGCCCTAACATGGGGTGGATGTTATTTTTGATAGATTGAACATTTTTTACTATTACCACAGTTGAACCAATGATTGTTTGCTTGTGCGGCTTTTTCTAGAGAAATCATCAACTTGGATTGCTTTTTTGAGTTGACGGGAACGCGGAGCCGGATGTTCTTGGTCTTATTTACTACGTCTTCAATTGTCTTATATGCCCTTCATGCTGCACGTTTTCTCCTGCTCAGTTCCAGAGCTGATCGCTCATCGTAATGAGTTCTCGACCTAGATAGGAGTAGCTTGAGCATTCGGTAATGTTCGTTCCGTTGAGCATGAAAGGAGTATTAGGCACTCTTCCGTTCGTCATCCTCATGAACATCGTCTTCATTAGGTTCAGCCGTAGACTGATCTTTCCATACACTTCATCAAACTGGACCAGCATGCGTGATGCTCAACGTTACCAATACGGTGTCATCAGCAAACCTAAGGGGTATAGTTGCCGGTCATCGACTTTCACTCCTATACGGTCCCATTCCAACTTACGCATGACGTCCTCTAGAACGGCACGGGGAATTTCGGTGATGTAGTAATGCCTTGTCTTACTCCTCCCTTCACGTCGATGATGATTCCTTGTGAAATGGTGTGATGCTTGTTGTGAAGTCATTGTAAAGCTCACGAATTATCTTGATGTACTGAGTAGGGGTATGGATTGCTCAAAATATCGATAACAGCAGTCTCAACCAAGTCAAAGGCCTTTTTCAAGTCGATGAAGGCGAGACAGAGCGGCTCTTATACTCTCGTGGCACTTCAATGAAGCCTTGACACCGTGTGTATGCGGTCTATCGTGCTGAATCCTCTTCAAAACCCACTTTGCTCGCATGGTTGTCCTTCATCTAACCCTCTTCCGATCTTGTTGAGAATAATTCGCGAGAGCTTATAGCGCCAGGTAGAGGGCAAGATTCCGATGTCGCAGGGTCTCCCATCTTTACAGCAATACGGCCTTGCTGGTCTTCCATTGTCTTGGAACCTTTTATGTTGTCAGATACCGCGTGAAGAGCCTTGCTAAGGTTTTGATGAGGACTGCTGAAAGTTTCTTCAGATGTTTTTTCTTAATCCTGTCGGGACCGGGTGCTGTACGATTTTTCATCAACATGATAGCCTGACAAATCTCGCGAGGAAGAACAGACATACTCCTTCCCTCTAAGGTGACTTGGAGACAAGTGGATGTGGTTGTCAGAGAGGTCTGAGTAGAATTTATGGATGACCTTCCCCATTGATCTTCGGAAGGCTGCTATAGTTCCGTCAGAACGACGAAGTGCGCTAATCTTTGCCTTGAAGGCAGTGTCCGGGCAAGAAGTCGATTTTGAGATTTTGTGCTTATCTGGGCCTATTCGCCATGCTGAATCCGAAAATCCTACCGGAAAGCGCGAAAACGGCGAAAAAGGGCCCTAACGCTGGATGGAAATCAGCAAGTGGGCGGGATCTTCCCCAATATGGATTCACGCTCCAAGCTTCCGGAGCGATCTTCTCGATTCCAATTTCAAGTCTTGTATTCGCACCTGGCCTGTGGAGATCTTAGAGTGCTAGCGGAATTGAGAAGATCGCTCAGCTGGGACCTCGAAATTCAAAGCGGGGAAGACCCCGCCCACTTCTGATTTCCCTTCCACATTACAGCCCTTTTTCGCCGTTTCCGCGCTTTCCGGTGAGGATTTTTGGATTCAGCATGGCGAATAGGCCCAGATAAGCACAAAATCTCAAAATCGAGTTTTTGCCCGGACACTGCCTTTGAAGCTGAGAAGCTTCGGCGGGTGTTGCGTATTCTTCTTCCAGCCTCCGCGGCGTCAACTATCACTGCCACTCTTCTCTCTCTAAAGCCTGCGTCCAGGCAGAATCTTGATTTCTATTATTTGAAGCCTGATCCATGGCGCTGATTGTCAAATTTGTCTCAAAAATGGGGTATTTGAGGAATTCATCCCAAATATGGCACTCAAAATGCGTGGATTCCTCAAATACCCCATTTTTGAGACAATTTTGTGAAGTGTGGACGAGTGCTGCAATCCTTCTCGAAAGCAGGCATTAACAGGTAGACACTAGTGTTCCATTGTGTTTGCCGCGTGAAAGCACGTCAAGGGCTGAGGAGGGTTCGTTCAAGGGGCGGGCCGTGCGAGAAGTGGGCGTGATCCTCGAGGCTCAGCGTTTTCTGCGCCGATTTCCTCCTTCTACAAGGGGTGTACAAAAGTCGGTCTTGTGCAATAGTTCTAGATCAAGGCAATAGTACTCGGTTATGATAGTATCCTATAATGTCAAATCTGCCCGGACACTGCCCTTAAAGGCAGATATGAAATTGTAGAATATAGAGGCTCCCACCCTGGTAAAACTCTTGCCCAAGTGGTATTGCACCACTTTGCTTCTGAAGCGAAAAAACCGCTTGAGAAGTGGCAACTAAAACGCTCTGGCGACCTGTCCACCCCTCCAATCGATAGCCAGAGTCGTATGTCGCATCGCACACGGTCAATACGTAGGGTCCAGCACGACTCTGAGTCTTAAACTCGGCGGCAAGCGTCGATATTCAGAATCAACAACTTCTGGAATAGCCCTTTTCCGACATTTTCGTACTCTGCAAGGTGCATTTTCGGAATCAGCGGGAAGAGTTAACCCAGGTAAGGTAGAAAAATCTTGTTCGAAATTTTGTCCGGACGCTGCTTTTAAGGTCTTCTTTTATCGCTTTTCTGATCGCTTTACAAGATCGGACGTCACTTGTTAGTTGCCTGTGCCTCATGCATGTCCACGTTGGCGTATCAGCTCCAAAGTCTCCGAGCTACGCCTTTTCGTATTTCCTAAACTCTGAACTTCCCTAACGCAATTGTGGGGATGTTAAATGAACCGTTCGTATTCTTCGCCGATGTTGTCGATAAAGGCGTCTCGCCTAGAGCGCATATCGAAGAAAACAGTTGATGGTAGTCATGGGACGATGTTTGCTGAACTTGACCGGTCATCTGGGACGTAGGAAGCTATGGTCTGATCCCGTTAGAACTTCAGGGCAGCAGCTACATCCGTCATGCAATACCTTCTGTTGACGATGATGTGGTCAGTCTATGGTACTCGCCACCGAGCGATCCCCAGGTCTAACGTGAAAGGCGGTTTGAAACTGTGGTTATCAAGGACATTCCTCGTTTTCATGGTAAACTCGGACAGTCTCTTTCCTTGTTGGTTCCAGTGTAAACCATAATTCCGATGTGAAGTTCCGTTGGCGACCTTCTAGCTCTGATCTTCGCATTGAAGTCACCGACGATAATCTTGTAGAAGTGTGATCTTCTCTATAAAACTCCTCGTCCATATCAAACGCCTCGAGTTCGTCTTCGTCGCGATGTTAAGGCGTATGCAATGATGACGATCAAAGTAGGGATTGATCCACATTTTGATATTCGCAAACGCCCATACAGGTTGTGAGTTGTTCGAAAAATCAATGTTTCATGACCAAACTTGTATTGACAAGGGACTTCCACTCCGCCTACTCCTCGACTGTCGCATGTTTCTAAAAACTATTTTTCTCCAGTCTCAAATGTTGCGTTCAGCGAATGGTATCCTTGTCTCGAGCAGTGCGATGACGTCGTTTGCATCATGAAGTCTTCGGATGCATCCGATGCAGCGTCATCGCGTTGTAAGTACAGTTCGTCATCATTGTCCGTCTCGTTTTCGGCAGCCTAGATCACCTTACAAATCCTGTCGCCACTACCGCCTTACCAGTGACTATTTCAAGATCGAAGAAGCTTTCCATATTTTTACTGTGTCGAACAATTATCTTACTCGCAGGGATAGCTTGTTGTGCTCAAAACCCCTGCGAGGTAGGAACGTAGCTAATGTTGGAGGCGACTTCGAACCCCACCTCCCACACACTAGTGGAGGAAGAAGGGGGAGGGGGAGCCCCCCCCCCAAAAGTGGGTCGCGAAATTTTTGAAATTTACTTATTTGGGTTGAAAAAAATGTGCAAGAGTGTTTGTTTAACCTTGTAAACAATTAAAACAATTAGAATTTTTTAAAAACTAGAGAACCAGTAATTAAAGGTGCTAGGTTGCATCCGCGCGCTGGGACCGCCGCGCGATTCCCGCTATTTGCACATTTTTGAATTGCGCTTATGTTTCTTTATATATAAGATTCAAATTAGCCATTCAAAATTTTTTTTTCGTCTAAAAATTCTAAAAATTCAAAAATCTGGAAAAAGGGGCGTCAGCCACGCCCCCTTTTTTCAGATTAGGGGGTTGGGGACCCGCAAAATTTTTTAGAAGCACCCCGAAATTTTCTTCGGAGTGCGTGGGTGACGCGCCTTCATTTGAAACAACTTTTTGCCGCCTCCCCCTCGAACGGAAATCCTGGGAGGGCAACTGCCACACACCTACCCTGGAAATTGGAATGCAAGCTTTAAGTGAAGGTAAGGAGTTCATCCTCCAGCTCCGCTTGCCCATCAAAGCGGCGGGGTCGCTTTTGGTCGCCGACCCCCATATCCGCCATCTGAGGATGCCCCAAGCAGCCTCGCGACTGACCGGCTGTAATCCCGCCATGAGGGAAATCCGTGGGAATATGCAGTAACTCAAGCAATCGCAGTCCATCTTGCGCATGCTTTTTCCATAGTGGGCTTTTGTTATGTGGCTGCTGCAACTTCTGAAACTTCCCTTGTTAATGGAGTCAAAGCTGAAACAAACTAGCAAACGGATTTGTTCCCGTAATTTCAAAAGATCTTTTCAGCTACCGAAACAGAAATGAACACAGCAGTAGAAGATTTTTCAAAATTCATGGTGAGATATTCAATAGTAGCAACAAAAAAGCCTGTACAAAATGCAAATCATGCCTAGAACAAACTGCAAAGAACGCAGGACGAAGATGAGTCCTGGTATGATGTCAATGCTGAAATGGTAAGAAACATATCTTGAAAATACCGTCACGACTCGGCACGAGCTGGCGCTTGGAAATTCGAGACCCTTTCAAGTTTTCTCCAAGAAAGGAAAGAAGAGAAGTTATGGACTTTTTCTGAGCGTAAATGATGGCCCTGCTTTGAGCTCAGAGACTGGAGAGAACCTAGAAGGAGTATATGGAGCATAGGTGCAATGCTGATGCAAATTTTTGAAACTTTTGCGGAGCTCGCGATCTACAACGATGCGACAACATTACCTTCTTGGCTTTTTTTTTTCACCAACATACGCTTGCCTTTGTGTCAGCTATGCCCAGTCCTAATTACCATGTCTTCGATATATTGTGTGAAGTATTAAGGATCAACATCGCGCACGAGTTCGTCGAATGATCGAAAATGATGCTACCTTGAACGACGCGCCGTCACTTAAGGTATGTTTGAAGATGCGACAGAGCTCTTACCAGTGCTTATTCTCGGCATTAATTAGTAAACGTCTAAGTAATGGAGTAGTTGATACAGTTCTTATTTAAATTTCCGATTCGGTAATATTTGAGATATTATCTTTACAGCGATTTAGTACTATGAGCATAACGCATTGTCTCCATTCATGGCCTCGCTAGGCAGGAGACGTATTCACAAAAGAGTTGTTCTTTCGCTCAGTCACCGCATTTCCGTTAGCGATCCCCCTCTATGACATCCCGTTCGAGAATCGCAGCGTGTCAACCACGGTTTCTTTGCCGAGTTCTCCTACCTTATCCTCGGTCGGTGGAGCGGGTCAGTTAGTCGAATGTTTGCGAGAAAGGTGAGGAGAGGCCATACGAGTAGTTTTAAATTACCTAATTGGATTCGTTTTTATGATTCAAGTAAGTTACCTCCGACTGCTTTGTCTAGCCCTTGTGTCCGCAAAAGCTTCTAGAATGATTCGCTAGCTCAAAACTTCATATGTTGTTGGAATGACAATAGGCTGTCCAAGTAATGGAGTCGTTTGGAAGTATGTGCCCGCTGTTTTATTGTGAACTTGCTGGGATTTCCTGTCCAGCCGAGCCAATCTTTACTGGAGATGAGGTAGATGCTTTGTTCGCCAGCATAGTTGCACTGCGGGGGGGGGGGGAAGGGATTGAATCGATCGATTGATTGAAGGGCTCAGCGAATCGCAGCGAAAAGTAGGTTGAAATCTGCGTCGCGGTGGAAAATGTACGTGTGCAAGGTTTGAGCTCAATGTTCAGCCGCGGGCATTTCTATGAAACCAAACGAATGAACCAAAACATTACAAAATAATATTTACATACTAGCTGGCGTTTCGATGCCGTTCGGAGCGTGGGTATGAACTAGCCCGATGGGGTGTAGGGCACAGATTTGCTCAGATCTCCGAAGAACTTACCTCTAATATAATTTCTTTTTCTCTTCTATACTCTTGCGCTTCCTCTGCTCCTTTTTTCCTCTTGGTTGCGCTTCAAACTCGTGCAAAACAATTCTGCGTCATCTGATGTTGATTTGTCTTCGTTGCTGCTGCGTCTCCGCAACGCCGCCGCCGCAAATCGTAAATGTGCTCAAAGGCAGTAGAATTGGGGAAAATTGCGAGTGCGAGCTTTTGCACCTTATAGCCTTCTGCTGAGTCCTAGGCTGTGCTTGAGAAGTCAAAAAATTTCGGCGCTTTCCGGCCTTGGAGATTGCTAAGGGGGCTGAGCGAGAGTTTCCCGCCAAAACAGCGACCAGCTGTAGACTGTAACTCCACCCATTTTGCGGCAATTGGCTGGTCTCAGACGGCCAATCGCCACTCAGTTTTCGATCCCTCGATCCCCTCCAGAAATCTCCAAGACCGGAGAACGCCACAAAAAGCACATTTTCGACCTTGCAAGCGCAGCCCTGGACTCAGCGCATACAGAAGGCCACGGAAAAATGGAAAGCACGTGTTTGCAAATTTCCGGAACCACTCCTTTAACCGCCCGCGCTAACATGATATGGTGAAATGCTTGGTTAAACCACGATAAGTTTTTTAATTCCTTAGATGTGAGTAAACAAATCAATCCATAGCAAGACCCAGTAACTCTCTGCGAAAAATAACATACCGGTAACCGCCGTGGCTCATTTATAAAGGAAAGCATTTCAGCCTCAGGTCCATTTACTAGGGAGGTTTGTTTGGTCGAGGTGGCCTTTTCACACGAAATTGGTACGATTTTAAAGAGCATCGAACGCTAATTCCAAATCTATCTTCCTTATCTGCCGAGCGCCTCTGGAGGTCGAGTTATGAGCCTTTTCAAATAGGAAAATTGAATGATGATTACCATAAAATTCGTCAGAATTGCTCAAATAGTCCAATGTTAATTATCAGAGCACTCCAGTTGAAGAATACCTTCTGTCTAAAATACTCATAATTAAACTGCTCTATTTGAGCGCTGAAAAGACTGTAAAAATGTGATTTTACCGAGATTATACGTTCATTTTTCGCACCAAAAAATGTTCATAACTTGGCGCGCAGAAGCGCTCGGCAGCCAATGAAATCAGATTTGGAACTAGCGTTTGATGCTTTTCAAAGTGGAATAGGACTTATATGGAAAGGCCACTTCAACTAATCGGGCCTCCCTTGTTAGAAAGATTTGTGTTCGGAACATAGACTCACCTATATTCACACCCCTTAGTTTTATATCTACTTACAGATATACCCGGTTTTACATGGAATCGGGTAGCCGGACCGTCAAGCGGTACACACTTCGAGTGAAACGGCAAAACCTACTCTATACTTGCTGTTCACCACTTCCAACTATCCCGCTCTTCCTTCCTCTTCTGCACAGGAAACTCAAACCTGCGAGAGCATCTTCAAGAATAGAGTGGCCCTCTGAGTGACTCACATAGAGTCGTCGCATGCTGCTCACCACCAAAAAAGCGATGTTTACCGTGCCTCTTCAAATGACTCTGGTGAAGTGACTTGCTAAAGACTGCAAGCTTTCATTTTTTCAGAATTTAGTAAACAGATTGATAAATCAATAGAAAAACCCAGCGAAGCTTCGTAAAAAGTACCTAAAAGCGTCTCCGGAGTCGAAAACATCTGTGCGCAAAGTTTCAGCTCAATTGATTTTTCCTCGGGCATTTCTATAACGCACATATCCTCCAAACCAACAGTTATATACAGGGTGTTCCAAAAAATGTGCCTACTGTTTAATTATTGATAACTCACTTGTCATGCAATCTTTCGGGAAGGGTTAGGTACCATTCTGTAGAGCTCTTCATATTAGACATACAGTAAGAAGCGAACTACTGATCTCCCTTTATTATTAACATTACGGTAGGAACTCGCAGCATATGGCATGACTGTGAGTTACGCGTTCGAAAAGATTTTTTGAAAAAAAAAATCTGATTTTGTGTAGCAGGTTTTCATGCACGCTGATTTTACTACAAAACTTTTTGCGTGTTGGCAGAGCTTTTTGAATGACCTAATCAAGTTTTCGACGATATTACCAGAATCCGTCGTTACGTTATATCTGGCATACTTACTTAGACACTTAGATGGCCCGTCCTCACGTGACGTGCTGGCCCCAATACAGATGTTTCCACTGATCCCTGTCCCTAACTTCGGACATCCACGATCTTCTCGGTCGTCGGTGGCTGCGTCCATGAGTTCCAGGGGCGAAAATCGTAATCAGCTGATTTCTCAGTTGATCCATCAGTTTCACGAACACCTCTGCCCATCTCGTTGTCGGTCCTCCTCGGGGACGTTTGGCTTGAGGAATACACTCAGATGTTCTTAGGGACCCGTCATACTTCGCCGAAAAAAGCCCGAAAAAGCCCGAAAAAGCCCAAAAAAGCCCAAAAAGCCCAAAAAAGCCCAAAAAGCCTGAAAAAGCCCAAAAAAGCCCGAAAAAGCCGAAAAAAGCCCAAAAGCGCCAGAAAGAGCCGGGACACTTCTCGCACGTTTTGGCGCTAAGGCATGTGTGTTGGCTTCACAATCGAGCCTTTTTGTCATTTTCTGTCGTCCACATGATAAGATAATGTCAGAGTTCTACCAAAAGTTCGTTTCTACATTCCGGCTCTTTCTGGCGCTTTCCGGCTTTTTTGGGCTTTTTTGGGCTTTTTTTGGGCTTTTTTGGGCTTTTTCGGGCTTTTTGGGCTTTTTCGGGCTTTTTTGGGCTTTTTCGGGCTTTTTTGGGCTTTTTCGGGCTTTTTTGGGCTTTTTTGAGCGCTTTTGGGCTTTTTTCGGCGAAGTATGACGGGTCCCTTAGTGTCCATCTGTCATCTGTCCTTCTCATGATGTGACCGGCCTATCGGTGTTTCGCTTTCGCAACGTATTCCGCTGGGTCACGAAGACGGGACATTCTTCTCATATCAGTACTACGAAGTCCGAAAAGAAGTTGCTTGTGTCAGGTCTTCTTCAGAAGACTGCGCTCAAGCGCTCTGTGGGTGGTCCGTAAAGCTTTCGACGTGACTACAATGTCTGCCCAAGTCTCAGCTGCGTAGCAGAGCGCCGGGTTGAGTTGAACAGGTGAGCACGAAGCCCCGGGTCCGTCAGTTAATCGGTGGCTTCCTTCAGAAGCCCGAAGGCGGCCCAGGCTGCTCTTCTTCTCCTGTTAAGTTCTTCCCTCAAGTCGTTCTCCATGTTCATCGAGGATAACCGAGAACATTCGTGAACATCCGAGATACATGTAAAAAGACGTCTCCATAATAGGGGTGCCTTCCAATTCCATTTCTGCATCTTCCCCAATTGTGTTCTTCATGAACTGATCTTCTTTCAATTTATTCGCAGTCCTATCTTCTTCCCTACTTCGTTTAGTTCCTTCAGCATCGTCTCTGCTTCATTGATACTGCTCGAGAAGAGAACGATGTCATCCGCAAAACGAAGTTTGGACAGGGATCTCCCATCGACTCGTATGCCCCTCTCTTTCCAGTCCAGTGACTTCATCACCCGCTGCAAGGCCGCGGTGAACAGTTTCGGCGAAATAGTGTCGCCTTGTCGAACCCTCCTTCCCAATTGGAATGGTCAGGGGGCGATGGAATAGCTGCATCGTAGTTGTACATCGTCCTTATAGCAGTCGGCTAATGTCCTCACGTAAGCTGGAGGTCCACTCCTTGATCGACTAGCGCAGACAGAATGGCGTTGGTTTCGATACTGTAGTCGACGAAGGTTAGGACGAGAGGCAGTCGGTACTCCCGGCAGACTTTAGCTTGTTTGGGGTGGGGCTTCATCCAGTGTCCTAGATATGCGAGCGAGGATAATCTTCGTGAAAAGCTTGTACAGCACACTCAGCAAGCATATTGGACGATAGTTCCGAAGATCCTCCCGTTCACCCTTCTTGAAGAGAAGGACGGTTCTTGACGTTCTCCACTGGTCGGAAATCTTCTCCTTCTGAAGGTAAGATGTCAAATGCGACGCTAGAATCTCGTGTAGACGGTGTCCTCTGGCTCGCAGAAGTTTGACGGAAAGATGATCTGGTCCTGG